CTAACAATGGTCTCTTGTGAAAATGTAAAGGGTTAAAATCTACTAATGCTATGGATATGAACGTTTTATTTACTCATTTATTTTTTTTAAATGGCTGAAATCATCTGGAACTGGGTTGGCAACTTTTAATCGCTGTGGCTAGTTTGTCACCTTTCTGTAACTTCTATACGAACTATGTTTACCTACCAAAAGGTAAAGGAACTTTTGACAACTTCCATCTCTGACTTTTATAAGTCATGACCATTCCGTTTGATATTCCTGAGGCCTTAGAGTTAATTCTTACCACCTCTGAAATATGGCTTTAAAAAAAGCAACTGTATCATCTGGTGATTGCAAGCACTTATTGGCTTTTTACTGTTAATATCTTGAAATATATTTTTACTCTCTTGCCCTAAAGCTGTTTCTCTTACATTATTAAAATGAAGATTTTGACACAACATTCACTGTTAAGCACTTTCTGTTTGAGCAATATATTGGCCATTACTCTGTTTTCTCAAGCTGTCCTAATCCAAGCTGTTTAATCCACCATCATTTGACAATTTCCCACTACTGTAGAACCATTAGTAGTTGTGTGTGTGCATTCTCCTGTTACACCCCCTTGATTGCAGGCTTGAATGAAATGCTCATTGGTATCTTCCAGGCTGCGGCTGCAGAGGAGTCATCATGTACGCCTGGATTTGAGTCAGAGCAGTTAATATTCAAAGTGACCAGAAAACACCTGAGGCAAGGCACACGACTGGGCAAAGGTATGGTGAGCCTTTCATGAACAGAATATGTCAATGTCTCATTTTTATTGCTTGTATTAATCGTTTCTAATAATACTTGTTTTCTAGCTTTGAAGGATATTTTTTGTGAAGTTATTGATTAGTTATTCAGTTCTTGTGTTGTACTCATTTCTGCAGCTCAGGGGATCTTCTGTCAGGTTTCTACTTGTCCCTGAACTTGTTCTGCTGGCTTTTCAAATGGTGTTGCACACACTGAACAAAAGCTGGCACAAAGTAGGGTTAGGTTCTGGGTTTGTCTTGTGTACTTTCTATTGCTTATTTGTTGCAACATTTATTTTAGCTATCACTTTGTTTGTTTGACTTGTTAACCTGCTGTTACAGCAGAATCATCTTATGTTGGGGTCTGATTGTGATAATCCAACCACTGCTTCTACATTTCAGCTCCACTAAACAATGGGAACTTGATTTACACACTTTTCTATGACTTTTTCATTCCCATAATAGACTGATGGAAAGTGGATAATATAATTTTTAAATGAGTTATGTAGGGATACTTTTAGAACTATACATATGTAGGCCTGTTGCGATAAACGATAAATCAATTAATTGCACAATAAATTAAACCTATCAATCTAATTTTAATTATCGGCTTTATCGTCTTGGTGCCTTTTCTTTCTTTTGATGACACTGAATGAAAAAAGGCTCAACTTCAGTGCTCTCCACTGACCCTCCCTTCCTATTTCCTTAGTGCAATGTCCAGGGCACACGACACCAGTTGTCGATCCATTTTCCAAACATGAGAGACCACACATTAGCTGTCAGAAATCCTAGGTATAATGGCTGTGTGGTGTCCAACCACCACACAGCTTTACCTGCTATCTGATCCTCCGTATGTCTTTTTTACTGCAGTGAGCTTCGATGTAGCCAATCTCCGTCAAGTATGGCATTGTTTTTATTTCGTATTAGATTCGTTGTGTTGATGCATTTTGAAGTGCTTCAATTTTCCGCCGCAACACACAAACTTCCCCATTCATTCAGTGCGTTATAGTTACACATCGCTTAGGATTTGTTGCTGCGCGTTTGTGCAGTGTGAAGGAAAAAGGAGACCAGCTGCACAGGCAGGCTGCGAAATGAGAAGCAGGTGATCGGTATCGGCAACAAGAGCCAATGATCACCGATCATGCACTTTTTCACGAAAATTGGCCCAATTATGATCAGTGACCGATCGATTGGCGCATCTCTAATTATAACCTATTTATGTCACGTTAACAAAGAGGAGCTGAAAAGTTACCGGGTTTATCAACTACGGTAGCAATTTGACTCCAACTCCTCCCTTTGTCATTTCTATATTCTTTGCGCGAAATGTTAAATAAATATTAATGTTGTTTCCACATATCATCTCCGATGTCCGCTGNACATCGGGTTGCGCCGTGTCAGCTGTTTGGGATTCCCCTCCATAATTTCCCCTCAGAAAGCATGGAGGTGAATCCGCGCTTTCTGATTGGCTACCTGTCACATTCAGCGTTAAGCTCCCAGTCGGGGAAAACCCCTGATTTAGATCGGAGCGGCCACGATGTACCGTAACTCACCACACACTGCAGGATGATCGGTTACGAAATCACCAG